GCCGCACACATGGTGGTAATATGCTGATATTGGATTCCGGATAAGGGAAATGAAATATTGATTGAGAGTAATGCCTCCAATGAGGTGACCTAGCCGGTCGGGTCGTGATCGGACTCCGCTCGAGATGGCGGTGGTAATGAGAACAGTGGTGAACACGTGACAGAAATGCCCTAATCAATGTTGTGGAAATTGTATGAAAGATTATATGAATTGCTTCTTTGATTTGCCCATATTATTTGCTTGTATCTGTTTGATAGTTCTTTCTAGTAAAATGGTGTTTAGTTATACATACCAGTACAATTCAAAACTGACGTCCCTTTTGCCGGGGGCGCTACATTCGTGTTATGATTGTAGGTGGTTCTATAGCAGGCACTCCAGTCCACCGGCAGTAGCACCCCCTCCACTTTCCGTCAGCTGTATTGGTGAGCCCCTTTCCCCTCGGGGCCCTGCGTGGCTTATGCCGCTGTTCTTCCCGGAGTCTTATTTTTTTTGTATTCGTGTAAGGTATAGCCGGAGCCTTGTTGCCGGCATTTCTATATTATTCTTCAGTTATATTTAGAGGCTCCGCAGACAGGTTGGGGGTAGTGTTGGGTATTGGCAATTAAAAGTAGAAATATTGATGTTTGTCAATGATGTATGTAACTTGTAATACCCTTAAAGTGGCGAAATGAAGTTGCTAATGACAATGAGATGGAAATCGTTAATTATATGTTGATAGAATTTGATTAATGGAGTCTATCCCTTATTTAATTATGAGTTGGGTTGGGTAGTATTTATGAAACCTGCCAGGCTTGCTCAGTCGGGTTTACTCGGTTGAGCGCTGGTCGCGCTCTTTGGATTTTGGGACGTGACAAGAGTGTGTGTCTGATAATGACGTGCAAGTGAAGTTTAGTGGAAAAGTTAAGTGCAGTGGAAAGTCTGTGAAAAGAAAGTTGGAGGATGTGAAGGAACCCGGTTCTGTTAAGAAGGTAAGACGTGGAAGTATATCTGGTAAAGAAAGGTTGAGGTATCAGAAAGTGTTGTGGGGTCGTACTTTTGACCCTGAGATATCTGAGATGGCTGGAATGCGCCAAGTGCTTGAGATGGTTGAGTTTCAACAGTGGGGACACCTATTCAAGGTGGATGTGCCCAAGGTATATGAGGAAGAGGTTCAAAGTTTCTATGCAGACCTCTTTACCGTTGAATCTGATCACATCTACGCACTGGTAAATGGCGTAGACATTGTTATGGACTCTGCTCTATTAGGAGACATACTTAAGGTTCCTGCTGAAGGTCTGTCTTCTGTTAGAGATGTCTGTGGATCAAACTTTAGGCATGCCATAGTTAAGGAGGGAGCAGTGTAGCGAGGGGAACGGGTGCATAAGAAAGGCTTGCTTCCTGTTTATCAGCTACTTTTTGAGTTGGTGAACAAGGTCCTGCTTCCTCGTGCTGAGAGGAGGTCCATCACATCCAAGGCTGATCTGTATCTGATGGAAGCTGTGGATGGGTTTCAAACTATTAATCTGCCAGCCATAATGATTGAGCATATGCAAAAGGTGGCAGCATTCAAAGATGGAAATCATGGCCTCCCCTATGGATTTCTCCTCACGCGTGTCTTCAAATTCTTTAAAGTGCCTTTAGGACAGCCTAAGATGGGGACCAAGAAGCAGACTATCTCTAAAACTACTCTAGAGGAATGTGAGTGTATCGACAAAATTGGAGGGGTAGGAAGTACTTCAACGATTTCCCAACTTATAAATGCTCAAAATAGTGCTACTGAAGAGATCAGAAAGTTGAAAGCAATGAATGCCATATTAGAGACTCAGCTCAGTCAGGCCCAAGAGACACCAGGGTCCTCCAGTTCTTCAAATGCAGAGGTTGCTCGTTTGACTAAGGAAAATGCTGATCTCAGGCAAAAAGTTGAGAACCCGAGGGAGAAACTGCTCGCTGAGCAAATGTCCGCCAATGCTCGGATAGATCTCGTTCTCAACATACTTGCTGCCTCTTCCAAGCCCTCTTCCTCTAGTGACCCTTGGGCATATCTCTCAGACCAGTGTCCAGTTTATCTCTCTTGACAGTGTTTTGATGATGTTGTGGTGGTTGTTTTTGTTTTTCCTTTTGGCTTGTGGATGGAAATCACTAGTACTGCTCCCGTGTAAATAGTCCAAATATGTTTAATGAAAACTCCCCTTCTTTTGCTGTAAATGCTTATGTGTTTCTGCTTCTCTTTTCTATCATGTTTGTGTGCACATAAGTGGCATGAGTTAACTAGGCTAGACTTCTTGATGCTATATGCTTGTTTGTGTGTTTTTAATGATGCCAAAAGGGGGAACGGTAGATAAAATTGAAGGAGCTAAGAAGAAAAATAGGGACTGATTAAGGGGGAAGCACAAAGTCAGGGGGAACTTGTGAAATTCCTGTTACTTTATCTGGTTTTTGTTGCTCTAAATATGATTGTCAATTTTCAAGTTTGTTATCATCAAAAAGGGGAAAATTGATGGGTTTATAGTACCTTAGCTTCATGTTTTAATGATCTAACAAACTTACTGTCAAAGAATCAGATAAGGAACCTGATACACTTGGTACACAACTCAATCAACAGACTCAAGCTAATGTGAGTTGCTATGACTTCAGAAGATAAAGAATCAACACAGGGACCTGATCCCCTTGGGTTCCCTGACAGCAGTACGAAGTCAACTCTCTATAGCTGAAAAGTGATTGCATGCACTGTACACGCAAACAGTGCAGCACAGTGCAGCAGTCACTTCTCATTGACCAACCAAGTGATTACATCATTCAAGTGATGTCATCCAAGTTGTATTAACAATAAACATTACAACAAAACATCATTTGAACACTTGAGATTTCATTCAAGCACTCCAAGCATCTGACAATCAAGCATTCAATTCTCAAGTGCATCAAGAACAAAGTACAACACCACTACAGACCAGTTCCTACAACAAATCTATAGTATGTCCTTAGTTGAGTTGTAACTTTGTAATTGTTCTTCATTGTAATTCCTACTTTGCTTATCTAGAAGCTTTAATTAGGAACCTCTAGTAAACCATAAACCTTTAGTGTTTGTGTCGTGACTAGAGTTAGTCATGAGTTAAAGTCTTTGTAATAGGTGTATTGCAAAGTGACTTGTAATAAGTGTATTACAAGCTAGTGAGGGATTAAGAGTTTAATTCCTAGATTGCATAGGTTGTAATCTAAAGATTGCTCATAGTGAAGTTGAAATCCTACCAGTGTAGGTCATAATTTTTTATTCCCCTGAACAGGGATTTTTCCACGTAAAAGTTCCCCGTTCCATTTACTTACTATTGCATTAGCCTTATCTGTGGAAACCTATATAGGACCTGGTCTCTATATAATTTGGTGGACTCATATATTCTATCAGTATTAATTTCCTTTTTTCCATTTTACAGGGGTGACTTCAATATCTCATACATAAAACATATATAAGAAGTTCAAAGTTTCACAAACACAAGTAGGTACGGAAACCTTAACTACACAATGACACTTATTCAACTCTTGATTTATTCACTTAACTCACATATAACATTCAAAAGTTCCTTCCCATCATTCTTTGAATAATATAACAACATAAATATTCAAATGCGATATTTAAAAACTTTCGTAGCTCTTCTAATATCAATCAAGTCGATAACATAAAGAGTCAAGTAGTTTCAGATTATAAATCATGATACTAAATGACAGAAAGCAAATTAAAATACAACTTAACTACTTCTCCTTCGTACCAAAGTACTTGCTAATGCAATTGTCTCAATAACCTCATTTCATGAATTTTTCTCCTGTTTAATCACTCTTTTGACCTTGTTACTTGATAATTATGCAAGATCACAATCAACTTCAACTACATATTATCCATTCTCTTCTCTGCTTCTCTTGGCAGGGTTCTTTGCAGGAGAAATCACCTCGTTATCAGCCATAAAATCCTACAAAAGGCAAACTTTCTTGCTTTATATATATATATATATATATATATATATATATATATATATATATATTGATTGTTTAGGAGACGAAAAATCTGTGTACTAAAACAACTATTTTAATAAGTTTCCAAATGTCTTGTTAATAAGTTGCCACTTGGCTTTATATATATATATATATATAACCTCCAGAAAAACCAACAAAATTAGAGATTTCGGGGATCTCAATTTTTTATAGTTAAAGATTTTTAAATTTGAAAAATTCTAAATCAAAAAATAAAAATTATTTGATTCCCCAAATAGTAATTTATTTATTTATTTTAACATATTATTCTCCTGAAGCATATCCTTGTCTTGGTCAACCAACGCTGATAATGTGCATACCTCCGTGGTTGACTTCTATAGTGAAATCATCTATAACAGAACATTCTTGACTTCTTACAAATGATGTCCAAATTTTGGGTATTAAATAATGAAAACGATTTTTTTTATTTAAAAAAAGGGTAAGCTAATATTCTGGAAGTAGCTAGCTTTGCTACCTTTATACCAAAAAATGTACAAAATATTTGGTAAAAAAAAAAGACCGTTAACTTTATAAAACTGATAGTGATGAAAACGTCAGCTTAATAATTTTGCATCTCAAGTAGTTAAAAAATTAAAATAAATTTCAAATAAAAATAAAGATTTAATTTTATTAAAAAATTTAAGATGTCTTATTAAAATTTGATTTTAGACTACTAATTTTATTTAGCTGTCCTGGTTGTGATAGCCCCAGACCAAGTCAGACCAAATAGTAGCTAAACATATTTCGTATGCACATATTGTAACCAATTTGATAAGGGTTTGAAAAAGATGAAGATCAAAAAAATTGCTTTGATAAGATTTTGAAAATATTAGAAAGGATCCAAAATCCTCAACAACCAACAACATTTGCATAGGTAGGCATAGAAGAGAAAATATTGAAAACATTCACTTCATTTAATGAAATATTTGGTTCTTTCTCCATTATAGTAATCTTATTACTAAACCTCTTTTGCTATAAAAGGTGGCTTTGATAGCAAATCTTTACTCAATTCCAACTTTTGTTACACAAAAAGAAAAAAAAAATGAAGCTCAAAACTTGTATTTTCCCTTTGTTTTTCGTTCTTCTTCTCATCTCCTATTCTGTAATTGCTACTGAAACATCCAAAGATGAAAAGAAGGGTATAGACTAACTTTTCATATATTTCTATTATTATGATAAATGAGTTTTATGCGTACACATCTTTTATTTATTTACCTCATTTTTCTTTCGCATGAACAAAAATAATTAGTATCTTACTCTTCTATATAATTCTCTTTTCTTCTTTACTAGTTACTAGAATAAATTGTAAGATCTTTATTCACTTGAAAAATATAGTAAAAGAGTTTCTTATTATGTGAACCCGCTATAGTCACGTCCTTACTTATATTTAGTGGCGAAGCCAGTAAATTCAATAAGGGTGTTCAAATTTTAAACACCATTTGTCAGTGGGCTATGCAAGAGTGTTCGAAATCTATTTTTTTAATCATTAACAAATTAACAAGTAATATTTTACCTTATACGTAATATAATTTTTCAGCGAAGGGTGTTCACTTGACCACCCTTGGGCCGATATAGCTTCGCCGCTTATATTGCAAGTTATAATAGCACCTTTAAGTACTAGCTAGTGTTAATCTTCATTCTGTTTTCATAATATGATAAGCTTTTACTTTTATATATATAATATACACACACACACTCTTTATGAAGTGCTCATCTTAATGAGTATTTTTTTTATTATATTAACATAATATGTGCAATAAGCTATTTACAATTTTACTATTGGTGGATGTTGTCAAAATTAGAAACTAGTGTTTTTCCAATGAAAATGTTCAATTCAAAAAGTTCATCTAAATTAGTGTATATTACTAATTAATGTTCACATATAAAGCGTTCATGTATTATAAAATTTATCATTATTGCAGCTAATGAAGTGAAAGAAACAAACAAAGAGGAGGAGCCAAAGGAGACGGACCAAGGCGGAGGCGGAGGCGGAGGCGGAGGCCGCTGTCGAATTGGCTGCTGTGGTGGTTGGGGACGCTATGGTTGTAGTAGGTGTTGTGCGTCGGGTAAGGATTTAATTTATATATACTGATGGTATTAAGTTTTTTTTATTAATACTATTTAACCTATTATAGCAGATAATATAATAAATCATTTTTATGCATGACATGTAGTTAATCATTTTAGTTTCTCCGGTTATCAATCAATATATAGGCAAAAAATTATCCTTAACTGTCTAATTTTCTAATTGTAATTTGTAATATTTTTAATATAGTTGGTACATAGAAAGAGACATCAGTCCATAATCTTTTGATGAAGCTATTAAAGAGGGAAACCTTATTTAGTTAATGATATTTTACTCAATTTGAAAAATAATAGAATATTGTTTTTTATATCTATAACTAACCTTATATGATTATCTTTTATTGTTTACTTTTTCTAGCCACTATTTTTAATTTAAACGGTTGGATGACAGGTATTTAGGTTAATTCTTCTTCTTTCATCTCTTAAAATTACAAGCAGAGTTTACAATCTATATATGTTCGTTTCAAAATTATAAACTTCAAATTTTCAATTTCCCTTATCCGTATTGCAGCTAATGAAGTGGAAGTAACAAACAGCGAGGAGCCAAAGGAGACGGACCAGGGCGGAGGCGGAGGTGGAGGCGGAGGCGGAGGCCGCTGTCGATACGGCTGCTGCGGTGGTTATGGCCACTATGGTTGCCGGAGATGTTGCACACCTCGTAAATTTCATACTTGAGCCTATTTATAGAATTACTATAGTACATTTAATAATGTGCTAATCTTAGTTGATAATTTAAAGTAGTCTTAACTTCTATACGTAAAAGAATTTTTAGATAATTTAGGGTCGATAAAAATATAAGTACAATTAATGTACCTGTACTTAATAAGTGGAACTAGTTATCTAAAAGGTCAAATAGTAACATGTTACGACATTTTAAATTATACTACTAATTAATAGTGTAAATTTATACTTTGCAGAAGATGCTGTAGTTGCGGCAAAAGATGATAATGCAGTGGCTGGTAACCGAGATGACGGTTATGGTTACGGCTACGGTGGACAAGGTGGTTACGGCTATGGCTGGGGAGGCGGCGGCTATGGAGGACGTGGCGGTGGCAGTTGGGGAGGACGTGGAGGCAGTGGCTGGGGAGGTGGCAGTTGGGGAGGCCGTGGTGGTGGCGGCGGCTGGGGAGGTGGCGGCTGCCGATATGGTTGCTGTGGACACAGTGGATATGGAGGCTGTAGGTGTTGTTACTCAGCTGCAGAAGCAAAAGCCTTTGATGAAAATGAAGTCCAGCCTTAAAGTTTACAAGACTATGTTGGAATAAAAGAAGAAGCATCCATGTAGTTAATGTTATATAGTATATAGGAAATAAATAAAATAAATATGAAAGTTTATGTGTGAATAACATGGATGCATATATATGGGAGTGTCAATGTATGTTTCTTTCACTACTTTTGCCTTAATTAGGGTTAGATCCCTAATGGCATTGTGATTGAGAGCTCAAGTTTGCAGTGATATAGTCAATTGATGTTTTTTACTGTTGTGAATGTGACTTAATTTTGCTTGTTCAGTTACCTGTCTACCTATTATATTCATTGGGTTGATTTGCTTTAATTTTCCTTTACATTCGAATTTTTACAAAATCAAAGATATATGAGTAATTGAAACATACAAACATTCAAACATAATTAAGTACACCCTAACAATCAAGACAACTACTTTTTATATGACTTTCTCTCTCTAGACTTTCTCTCTCGGCGCATGACTGCGTGCTTTGCTAACATGCGCTGATCGAAAATGGGGAGAGGACGACCTAGGAGGCTGGTGACAAAGGTACAATTAGCTTATTTCATTGCTTCAGGAAGTAGGAATGGAAATCTGGGACGTAGTGCTGAAACAGATGCGAAAGAGAAAACTCAAAACTGTGATAAAGGAATTTCAACAAATATGGCTGAATCTCGAGGATCAAGTAACATGCAGCTGAAATTAACACGAGATATTTGAGTCCAAATATGAGGGATTTGACACCTCAGGCAGCTGATGGGGAGCTAGGTAAAGGATTTCTGAATATGAACACTGTTCCATTGATTACTGCTTTACAAATGGCAACAGTGTGCAGTCACAAGGAAAAGGAGCTGAACATCATGGAGAATAAGATAGTTGACAGTGCGAACAGAGAAGCTACTTTGAAAGAGCAACAATTACTGAATCAAAAAGCAACGAAGAGGCAGAACAGGAGAAATCAAAAGTAGTATTGGGGGAAAATCAACAGAAATGGTCAAATCTAGTCACACGGAATAAAATGGCTGCAAGAGGTATGGACCTAGTGTTCATACCACCTACTATTCAGGATGGGGTTAAAAAGGTACAATTACAGCAAGAGGAGATGGAATTGGAAAATACAAAGTGGCAGAAAGCTATAATTGTATATATCATTGAAGAATCACCGTCAATAGGAGCCATGGAGAGATTCATAGTTGTGCAATGGAACTTTGCTGCCAAACCTAAAGTGTACTATCATAATGAAGGCTATTTTGTGATACTATTCAATAGTATGGATGATAAAAATGCTGTACTATACTCAGGACCATATACAATGGGAGTGAAGCCATTGATTTTGAAATCATGGACAGAGGACTTCGATTTGTACAATGAAGTTCTTAAAACTATTCCATTATGGGTAAGCTTCCCTAACTTGCCTTTGAACTGTTGGGGACGATTGACATTGAGTAGAATTGCTAGTGGACTAGGAACACCTTTGTATGCTGATGAGTGTACAAGTAATGCTTCTAGAATTTCCTATGCTCGAGTGCTTATAGAGATGGATATGAGCAAAGAGTTACCTAAGTGTATCAAAATTCAAGATCCTTCAGGCAAAGAGTTTGAGCAAATGGTGGAGTATGATTGGGTTCCTCAGTATTGTAGGAAGTGTTTTGATGATGGGTCATGATTGTGAAAGAGATCAAGGTAGAGCTGAAACAACAAAAAGAAGTGTTCAAAATGAGCAACATCAGAATAAACAGCAAGGAAGGAGTACCAATATAATTGGGAATATTCAGCAAACAAGGAAACCAATAACTCAATGGGTGGCAATAGGACCATCAAAGCAAGTAGAGAGGGACACGGGCAAACAGATCGATCAAGAAGATGAAACACAAAATCCAAAAGAAGATGAACGAGTATGGACAAAAGCAAAGGGCAGGGTGGGACTGACAAGTCCTATACAGCAAGTTATAAGGACTACTAATGGCTTTTCTCAATTGAGAGAAGTAACAATTGAAGGCAAAACATGCTGGGCAGATGATGATAAAGCTGAATATAGTAGGGGAGAAGGTGAAGAGATAATTCCAACTAAACAGAAACCTATATGAAGATAGTGACAGGGAATGTGAGGGGTATTAATAAGGTTCATAAGCAAAAGGAGATGAAAATTTTCTTGGAAAAACAAAAAATCAATCTTATAGCAATAGCTGAGCATAGAGTACAGAATACTAAAGAAAAAGAGGTCATAAATAAATGTGCACCAGGCTGGAGTTGGTGCTCAAATAGTAAGGCTACTGAAAAAGGTAGAATTTGGATTCTCTGGGATGCAAATAGTATTCAATTCACTATGTTGCAATCTCATACTCAATATATTCATGGTATAATCAAAAATAATAGCTCCAGCAAGCAATTTGCGTTTACATCTATATATGGACTGCATACTGCTGCTCATAGGTGTGATATGTGGGAAGAATTAAGAAAAATTGATTCACAAATGGATAGTCCTTGACTGCTCATGAGGGACTTTAATGTAGCATTGGACAAAGAAGACAGGTTAAATGGTACAGAAATACAGGATAATGAAATCAAGGACTTTAGAGCTCTAATGGGGGATTGCAGGTTAAATGAACTAAGAACTGCGGGAAGAACTTACACATGGACAAACAACCATGTGTTTAGTAGAATTGATAGAGCTATTGTAAATGCACATTGGATGATGAATATGCCACCATTGCAAGTCTGTGTGATGGATCCTCATTTCTCTGATCACTCTCCTTTATGTATAGAGGTGGAGTCCGGAATGGAGTATAAAGGGAGACCTTTCAAGTTTTTTAACTATCTCACTGAGCATCCAGAGTTTGAAGAAATAATAAGAAGCATATGGGAAAAGGAGAATAGAAATATGAAGGATATATGGTGTAATTTGAAGCAGATTAAAGAAGAGATGAAAAGGTTAAACAAGAGAGAATTTTCCAATACAAATAAGAAGGTGCAGCAGTTAAGGGAAGAATTAGCAAACATTCAAGCACAGATGAGAACAACTAACACATCATCTGATATGTTTGATGTTGAGAGAACCACAAAGCAGCAGCTAGAGAAGTGGAGTAATAGAAGAGAGCATCTATAAGCAAAGGTCTCGAATACAATGGCTTCAGCTAGGTGATTCCAATACAGCTTTTTTCTTTGCAAACATGAAAGGGAGAGTAGCACAAAATCAAATAAAGAGTTTAACAGATAGCAATGGAAGATTGATCAACAATCCAGAGGGCATTGAACAGGAGATAGTGGGGTTCTATAGAGGATTATTAGGGAGATCAACTAACATCATGCCTACTATTAATCCTAGCATAATGAGGAATGGTCCAAGACTTAAAAGATCACAACAGCTTCAGCTTATAGCCCCTTTTACTAAAGAAGATGTGAAGACAGCCTTGAAGGGGATTAGTGACTCAAAAACACTAGGTGGAGATGGTTTCAATGCCTACTTCTACAAGAAGACTTGGAAAATAATTGGCAAGGACATTACAACAGCTGTTCTGAAATTCTTTGATGATGGTATAATGTATAAACCAATCAATAGGACAACAGTTACTCTGATCCCAAAAGTGAAAAATCCTTCTTCTATAAAGCAGTTTAGGCCAATATCCTGTTGCACTATTGTTTACAAAATTATTTCCAAAATGCTCACAAATAGGCTGCAGTCAGTAATGAGACACTTAGTTGATCTGAGTCAGGCAGCATTTGTACCAGGGAGAATACTAAGTGACAATGTTCTACTGGGGCATGAACTTGTTAAAGGATATGGGAGAAAAGGTGTGTCACCAAGATGTATGGTTAAAATTGATATGCAAAAGACGTATGATTCTGTAGAATGGAGTTTCCTTGAACAAGTACTTACAGAAATGAATATCCCAGGGAAATTTCTCTCTTGGATTATGTCATGTGTTACTACAGTGTCTTATGCTATTGTGGTTAATGGAAAGCCAACAACTCCTTTTGATGCAAAGAGAGGAGTTAGACAAGGTGATCCATTATCACCATATTTGTTTGTGCTAGCTATGGAGTATCTTACAAGGAGCTTGAAGACTCTTAAAGAGAAGCCTGACTTTAACTACCATCCTAGGTGTGAGAAGCTGAATATTATCCAACTCAGTTTTGCTGATGACTTGTTGCTGTTTTGCAGGGGAGATGTGGTGTCTATACAGCTATTATATGAATGTTTTCAACAGTTTCCAAAGACTTCAGGGCTGACTGCTAATCAGGAAAAAAGCTGTATCTATTTTGGAGGGGTCACTGAAGATATTCAACAAAACATTATCCAGTGTTTAGGTTTTTCTAAAGGCTCTTTGCCTTTCAGATACTTGGGAGTCCCATTGAGTAGTAAACGGCTAACTATTGCACAGTGTCAACCTTTACTAGATAAGATGTTAGGTAGAATCAAAAACTGGACAGTAAAGTTTCTGTCTTATGCAGGAAGGTTGCAACTGATCAAAAGTGTTTTATTTGCTATTCAATCATTTTGGTCACAGATATTTCCTTTACCTAAGAAGATCCTACAAGGAATTGAGACAATTTGCAAGAGATTCCTATGGACAGGTGAAACAGAAACCAAAGCTAAAGCTTTAGTAGCTCGGAGACAATTATGTTGGCCAAAATCTGCAGGGGGTCTGAATATCACAGATATGGTTATATGGAATAGAGCTGCACTAATCAAACAACTGTGGAATCTAAACAAGAAGAAGGATAGATTGTGGATACAGTGGATTCATGCTTACTATATCAAACAACAAGTAATATGGCAAGTGAAAGCTAATCAAGCCTCATGGTTAGTGCAAAAAATTCTAGGAGCTGGTAAATACCTAACTAAGGCTAACATAGCAATTGAAGAAGTGTTGAGCATGAAGGAATACTCCATCAGATTAATATACAACAAGTTGAGAGGTGATCTACCTAAAGTGGAGTGGAGGAGATTATTGTGTAATAACTGGAGCAGTCCTAAATGGAGATTCATTTTGTACTTGGCAATCATGGAAAGGTTATATACGAGAGAAAGACTAATAGGATGGGGCATAACAATCAGTTCAGCATGAACATTATGTGAAAGGGTAGCAGAAAGTCATGAACACTTGTTTTTTCAATGCAATTACTCAGCAAGTATATGGAGGAAGCTGCTACAATCGATGGGGATACAAAGGAATGTACAAGGTTGGGATGCTGAAAAACAGTGGGCAATAAGGCATGCATCAGGAAGAAGCAAATGTGTGCAACATACAGAATGGTACTCGCGTGTGCTGTTTATTATATTTGGCAGGAACGAAACTAGAGAACCTTCTGTCACGCCCCGGATTTTCCACCATCGGGAGTCGTGATAGCGCCTACTGTCGGAGCTAGGCTAGCCAAGTATTAAAATATTTTCTGATAACATCTCAACAATATAAATAAAACGAGTCATTTAAATAAAAGCGGAAGTCTTAAAGACATTGATAACTGAAAACCAAATGCGGAAGTTTAAATACAACTCTACCCAGATCCGGTGTCACTAACTCACGAACTACTAAAGAGTACTAAAAACAAGTCTGAATAGAAGTACATCTATGTTTGTCTCGGTACAAGGAAAACAAACTAATAACATAGAAGGGACTCCGGCCTGCGGACATCAGCTAGGCTACCTCGAAAGTCCCTGGACTGAAGTCAGCTCCCGATCAAATCCTACTGCTGAGGCCCAAAAGCTGCTCCTGGATCTATGCAAAAAGATGCACAGAGTGTAGCATCAACACAACCGACCCCATGTGCTGGTAAGTGCCTGGCCTAACCCCGGCGAAGTAGTGACGAGGCTAGACAGGACCTACCAAAAACAACCTGTGCAGATATATATGTATATACAAGTGCAACAAAATAACAGCAGAAAATACCAATTAAGGCGGGGAGGGGACATGCTTAGGGGAAGTACAGATGAAAACAACTTATCAGAAGTAAACACGAAACTACATCAGATCTCATAATCTATATAAGTGGTCGGCGTGCCACACGATCCCATTTCATAATATATAAGTGGTCGGCGTGCCACACGATCCCATTTCATAATATATAAGTGGTCGGCGTGCCACACGATCCCATTTCATAATATATAAGTGGTCGGCGTGCAACACGATCCCATTTCATAATATATAAGTGGTCGGCGTGCCACACGATCCCATTTCATAATATATAAGTGGTCGGCGTGCCACACGATCCCATTTCATAATATATAAGTGGTTTCCCGGCAAGGGAGAATACGACTAAGCAGTTAAATCCCGGCAAGGGAGCAACAACAATAACTTACACGTCCCGACAAGGGAATAATCACATCTCTTTCTCTTACGTTCATTTCTTACTTTTTAATCAAGTCAAAAATCGAGCCAACGCTCCAAAGAGTTTACACATCATATTTCCTTCTCATTCTCTTCATATCATATAGAAGCCATCAATTAACAAGGAAGAGTCACTACAGAATCCCAATTAAGCACAAATAAAGACCCACGGTCATGCTAGACACCGGTGTATAGATACTCGTCACCATGCCTATGCACCGTACTCAACATTTAGCAGTTAGCAAATAATACTCTAATCCTATTCCCTCAAGCCAAAGTTAGATCAAACACTTACCTCAAATGCTCCAAAATCAACTCAAGCCTCTAGTATAGCTTTACCCGTCGAATTCGGCTCCAACTCAGTCAAATCTATGAAATAACGACTTTACAATATTAATAATAGCTAAACAAACTAAACCCAATGCCTACATATGAAATTTCTAATGCTTTCTTCCCAAAATTCCAAAAATCGACCCGGGTCCGCTTGGTCAAACACGAGTTCGAACCAAATTCATATCAGCCATTCACC